AAACTGTAGGTCACGGACAATGGGGAGCCAACCGAAGCACAAATTGAAGATCAACCGAATGAAATGGCTCTGGATAACAGGGCGGGTGGAAGCCATGAGCAACGGCGTTGTTGCTATTGCTAACATTAAGAGTTGATTAAAATCACGTCAAATTTGTGTGAGCGATCAAAATGAACTGAATTTTATTAAGTTGTTAATTTTGAACAGTTATTCCAAAAATGCTTAATTGCTAGATATGGTTCGTTGCCTTTAATTTCGAATATTGAACCTTGTTTTTTTTGATGAAAAATGCTGAAATGCCAATTGATTGGACTTTATATGAATTTAAACAAATGCCAATTTGATTGGACTTTGTATGAACAATATGCTGAATTTAACAATATGTTCTTGAACATTCTCCCGGGCCAAACTTTGATATAAACAAACAAATTTAATAACAATTTAGAATTTTAAACAATATTTTGATTTACAATGAGAAAAAAAAAATAGTATTGATTTCGTGATTAAAATTTCATTCATCCGATTTAAACGAAAATGTCATATTGGAAGAATCTTATTTAATGTTATTTTTCCCATGGCATTATGATCGATACGTTGTTTTTAGCACGATGTTCTACGGATGTGTGTCTCATTCCTCGGGGTACTAGTGCCTGTCCGTTTTTTGTATCGTGAAATTTGATTTCCTTTTTATCTACAATCGTAGCTTCGGCTGTTGTGCTGGTTGATTGTATTTGTTGCCTACAGTGGTTCTCGGATTTTACTGAACGTAAGCGCTTTTTTGAATGTAGTTGGTTTACGCAGTGCATACAACCGCATTTTTCCAGACGTTTCAATGTTTTTTTGTTTTTGTTGCGTTTGTGCGATCTCCACCAGTTCATGACGATGTGGATGATCATGTTCGTACAAATATTCAATGCTATGTAAATTTTGAGCGTTGTTTTTACTTCTGACACGCTATCGTCGATTCCTTCGATACTTGTGATTGTATCGTTCGTCAATTTTGTTATTCTTTCTTGCATTTGCCTGTCTTCGGCTTCCAGTTTGTCAACGTATTGTCCGGCTATCCAAAACCCAGAACTAGGTAATGGAGCTGCATTTGCCGCTGGACAATACATTGAAATGGCCATTACGAAAATTAACATAGCCGACGTTGCGAGTTTTCGTATTTGTTTTGAGAATATGAGTACACATGCGATGAATGTTAAACACATGCATACTCCGATGATCGTTGTCGTTGTTGTTTCAATGGATTTTGCGGACGTAGTTGCATTTACTGGCGTTATTGTCATTGCGGTGGTCAGTAATGCCGTAATTGAAGATGTACCCATATTTTGAGTACGGTTGGTAGATTTTTTTAAATCATTTTCAATCGTTGATGAGTTTGGTATTTCGTTGGCATCGTCGATCGGAAGTGGAGCCAACTTTGTTAATGGACGTGTCAAAGTATTGTGCGATGTTTTTATCGTTGCCACTCTTATCAGTCCGTCTTGGCCTGGATGTACTTTAATGACTCGGCCCATGGGCCATTGGCCCACGGGTGATGACTGATCGTTTAAAAGCACAATGTCGTTTTCTTTTATGGCGTTTTTAATCGTTTGCCATTTTTTTCGTTGCTGCAGCGTATGTAAATACTCACACTGCCATCTTTTCCAGAACTCACGTACCGTTTGTTGTACCCTTTTCCAGCGGTCGAGATAACTGATCTTGCATTCATCCAAGTTTTCGCTGGCGATTGCTGTTGGGTGTGAGTTTATAAGGAAGTGTGCAGGCGTCAACACTTGGATGTCGTTTACATCACACGAAATTGGAGTCAGAGGTCTTGAATTAACTGCCGACTCAATTTGCGCTAGAATCGTCGTTAACTCTTCGAATGTGAATTTTTGTTCTCCCATCACTTTCATTAGATACATTTTTACTGTTTTTACGCCAGCTTCTACCAGGCCATTGAAATGTGGTGCGCCCGGTGGTGAGAATTTCCATGTTATTCTCTGTGTTGACAATTCGTTTGAAATTCGCGTGTTGAATTCCTCATTTTCGTTGTTACTTAATTCGTTTAATAATCGATTTGCAGCCACAAAATTGGTTCCATTGTCGCTGAATATCACTTTTACTTCACCCCGTCTCGCGATAAAACGTCGTAGTGCAGCAATAAATGCGTCAGCTGACCTGTCACTGACCAACTCAACGTGCAACGCTTTCGTTGACATACATACAAAAATGCAAATGTACGCCTTTACTACTCTTGCATTTCGGAGTTTCGATGTTTTGATGAAAATTGCTCCCGTAAAGTCAACCATTGTGTTTGTAAATGGCTTGCTTACGACTGTTGTTCTAACCGCAGGTAAATTTGCCATTTTTTGTTGCATTGTTTTTGGGTTGTGTCTACGGCATATGACACACCCGTTGAGTTGTTTTTTTACCGCCGAAAGACCGTTGACTATCCAATATTTCTGTCGGATAAGTGATTCGGTCAACCTTGGGCCAGCGTGAAAATTATTTTTGTGCATATCACGAATGATTAAAATTGAGATTCCACTTGCTCGCGGATGGGAAAATGCAGAGAAAAACCGTATAATATATTCATAAAAGTAGAATTGATATCGGTGGGCAGCAAAATTCTTATCAGTGGCAGCAGAATTATTACCTAGTGTCAATGTCTCGATCAAACACTGAACTTGACTGCCCTTCTGACTTCATTTGTGACCTTAAAACTCGACCGGAATTTGGCTGTTTCGAGGCAACATTTCCAACTACCACATTTTTCCTGGCTTGGTTTTTCTTTTTGGACGCTTGAAGAGAAATAATTTGATGTACAAATCGCACAAAATGTGAGAATCAAAACACGAAAATTTCTTATATGCTCACAACACTCATTTGTATTGATATCTGGATCACACACTGAACTTGACTGCCCTTCTGACTTCATTTGTGACCTTAAAACTCGACCGGACTTTGGCTGTTTCGAAGCAACATTTCCAACTACCACATTTTTCCTGGCTTGGTTTTTTGTTTTGAACACTTCACAAATTAGAGGAAAACTTGATATGAAAAAATTGTATGAAATTTGCAAATCAAAACACGAACAATTCTTATGTACTCACAACTGTTCATTTTGAAAAATATTTTCGTTTTTTTCCCTCTTCTATCTGTCTTTGCATTACATTTCATAATGCACAAATTATCCTCAAAACGAAGATAAACCGGGATAAACGAACTATTACTATGATTAGAATTGAACTTTGCGATTGTTTGAAAATTTTCAGGAAATTAATTCGTAAATTTTAGTTTATTCATCGATGTTTACATGAGATCGTCTACAGATCACGACCGATGCGAACCAGGAACGAAACTAAACTGAAAACTTTCGCTGTGTTTGCCGATGACAATCTCGAAATGCTTTTTTGTGACTATTGCCATTCGAATAGCCAAAACATAAGAATACTCCACTGGCCGCTCTCATACAGACTGCACGCAAAGCAAGAGTATCTTATTACAGCTAAAACAACACCATACCGATCGTTCGCATACGCTGGCATACGCCACATTCTCATCAGGAGATTTTGCTGACATGATGTTTATAAATCAATAAATAACCAATTTATTGTTCGAAGCGTTTGGTGACTCGAGTACGGACCACTTGAAAAAGTATTCACTTATCTGAATGGTAAACTCGGTCAAAATGCATTTAAAAGAAAAGTATCGTATTACAACAAAACGTATAGATCCTTCGTATGAACCATAATCTGAGGCGAAGATTTTACTGACCTAATGGTCCAACGAATAATTTGTATGAATCAATAAATTACATATTTTATGTTCGGAGCGGTCGATAGCTCGAAAGTAAAATGTGAGCAGCGGACGAAGGAGCTACTCAAAGAAAATCTAGCGGAACAATGATTCCGATTTACCGGTATTAAAACCAATCGGAATTATGAATCGGAATAAATGTTCCGAGATTCCGATTTATCGGTACTCTTCAATGTTAATTACTTATTTAAAAAAATTGGTTGGAAAATCTATATATATAAAACTGAATGTTCGTCTCTATGTGTGTGTGTGTGTATGTCGGGTAGTTATCTCTCCTTTTTCAAATTCATGGCTATATTGTTAGGCTTTCCGTTTGGTTTCTCGCGGCCTCAGGAAGGATCTTATAAATGAAAATCTCTTTTTCTTTGATTTTAATTCCATCTACATTAATGTACAGTGATGTATGTATGAAAGACTTTAATAAGAGACCGTACGATGAGATGATTGAAAAAAAGAGTTTCTTAAACGATAGATGGATATTTGTCTGAGAGATGTTAAGTTGTGTTGTGTTCCTAAGCATACATTTGTTCATTACAGATAGACGTTATTCAGATTTTTTATCTTTTCATTCGATACGAATTGTATGCAAAGGTAATTTCGGGGAGTAACAAAGCGAAGGTTCTCAATAAAACAGAAATAAAATAAAAATAAAGACAAAATTTGTGTAGCAACAAAATAACGAGATATATTTGAATCAAATGTAAACAATAAAGATGACATTTCACTTCATGGCATTAGTTAGAGAAAGAATGGGCGCGGCGCTGCAAACGCCAGTTGTCAAATGTCAAAACAAGGTTCCATCCGTCGCTTGCTTATTAAACATTTTATCGAGATAGCTTATTATTTACGTCCACATTTTTTGATTTAATTAAAATCAAAGTTTATTCTCCAAATATTTGACTGATTTGCAGTTCTTCGATTAAAGTTCAGTTTTTTCAATACTTGATTATTTTGCATTTTTGAAAGAGAGTAGAATAAAGTTTTCAGACGACAATAAAGACAATCAGACGTTTCATTTCATTTGAATACCCAACATCAAGATTCTCGGAATCATAATACAATTTTCCATAAAATACATGAACGTACTGTTGTTTTGTTCTGAAAATTCTTATAAATATCCTAGGCAAAATCTGAATAAAAGCTGAACGCTATGAAAACGGTGCGGAAAAGTTCGTCTTACGGAGGTAAGACTATTTCTATTGACTAGATCGAGAGGAGAGTATGTGAAAAAATTCTAATATATTTTGAAAGAGGAGAGTATGTTTTCTGGTGATTCTGTTGGCGTTAAAGTAGAGTATGTTGTAGTACCGTCTAAGCTCTGCGGTCTTCACGGTTTTTGCGGAACTGATAGGAGATAACAACATGGTATTTTCGGCAAAGTTGTAGTACTCGAGGTCTTCTATAACATTGCTGAAGACATCTATCCCTTATCTCTTATCAGTTGCGCGCAAATCGCGCACATAAAAAAGCAAATTTTATATAGAACTTTTTTTTCATATCATTTTTCGCGCTTTTTGTGGAACTGATAAGAGATAAGAGATAACTGACTTCAGCAATGTTATAGAAGACCTCGAGTGCTACAACTTTGCCGAAGACACCAAGTTGTTATCTCTTATCAGTTCTGCGGGAACCGTGGAAAACCGCGAGGACTCGCCAAAAATGAACATACTCGCCTTTAACCATTTTTGAGTCGAAAGAAACTTACTCTTCTCTTTCATAACAAAGTCAGATGAACTTACTCTCCTCTCGATCTAATCAATAGATTTATATGTCTTGTATTTCATATAATTTGAACGAATTCTTTTATTTGCTGTTATAGAATCTATTATATTGCAATTTCATAAAATCGAAGAATGGAAGTGTTTCGCCATATTCACGGAACTTTTCATCAAAATTTTGAACCATTTTCTGGGCGGCTTTATGTTCGGCTTCTTTAATGGATGAATCTGATGATTCGGTGCGTGCCCCATTCCACTAAGCTTACTCTGTAAGTTGACTCGTTGTTGTACTCCGAAGGATGCCGTACTTGGTAACTGCAAGACAGATTTTTTAAAATTATATTTTGATATAAATGTGACAGTATCATTATATAAAGCATTACGTTGGTTTTGGCAAATGATTATCTTCACTGAACTTATTGAGGAGCCCCATGGCATGAAACTTTCTAATTGATGGAATGAATAATGCACACAGGTTTTGTTTGGTAATTTTTCCATTATCCACCAGCATTACTGAATTGACAATAGATAAAAATAAATAGAAATATAATTAGAATATTTATATATGAATATTTCATGAATGTTTCATCTTGAAGGGTGGATTATGATCCATTTCTGAAACTACTTACGAAGCATCAAAACTGCATTTCAGTTTTGCCTCAATTTTCTTGTTCCCAGTTGCTCTTGCTTCAATGCCAAATGCTTCCATGGTACAAATATTTTGTATAAAATGCACCTTCAAATCACTTGTAGCACCTTCCTGCTTGCAAATCATATGTAGCAGATATGCAACCAACAATTTAGTGACAAAACCATGCTCGTATTGGGGTTGGTTTGTCTCCAAAATATTCCAATCGTCATTTCGTCGCTCAGCGAGCTTCTGTTTAGTAATTGAATATTTAATTTAATAAATTCGTTACATAATATCAATAAAAATTATATTACCCGCCGGCTCAGAGTATCTTGATCAGAATCCGAATCCGTACTGTCTATGCTAAATCGATGTCCGAGATATGTAATTTTGCTTGACTCCCGAATGATCTTGGATTTGTAGATAGTATTTATGTACTCTTATGAAATTGCGTGCAATCAGCTCGAGTGTCGTTTCGTTGAGTGTCAAAATCCAAATTGGCTTCTAATTAAAACGCTTATTCTTCGGTTGAATTCTCTCTCATTTTAAATGATCGACTTATGGTCATTCATTATAATTTGACAGAAATATTTTATCCCCTAAAACGCCAAACGCTATAAATTTTTTAAATTTAACGTTAAAAATGTAATCTCGACGGATTCTAAGAGCACTAAATGGGCACTAAATCCATGGACTATTTTCAAATTTAGTGCTCAATTTTTGAAATACTTGTGTGTCCCTGGCGAGCCTCTTTACAGGTATAAAAAAAGGCCTCAAATCATGACGAACTGCATCATTACTTTTTAAAAGTTAGCTCGTTTAAGCGTTTAATTGCAATCGGCGTTTTCAGTGTACAGCTTATTGCTAAAATAATTCAATTTTATGCCATTTACTCGTGTTTCTGAGGGGTTAAGGTGTATGATTACTTGTACAAAAATGTTTAGCGGACAATTTTACGTGGAAATATTTTTGCCAGATCCAAAATTGTTCACTGATTGTGTGTAATATGGTCGACAAGTGGCCAAAATCGCCCAAAAATGTATGAAAATCACATATTTTCTATCGATTAACGACTTTTTCGCCTATTTTCAATGACTTTACACAACTAGCTGTTGGAGAAAAATGTTCAGCATGAAATTTTACATGGAAGTGGACTCATTAAAATCAAAGTTTTTGCATTGTTAGTGTCTAAAATGGCTCTAAAAGACTAAAATCATATAGAAATGGCAAATTTTCGAACCAAATATCGATTCTTTCACATTTTGAATGCTTTGTTAGTCAAAATCATAGCATATGAAATTTATCACGCGCTTAATTCATGTACAAACCTATCCCATGCACCGAAAGATTTGTATACTTACGATCACATAAACAATGAGGCGACAATGCGGCGCAGCTCTCGGAATGTTTTATCAACACACAGTTTCTTTTGTAAACACACCAATACGATTTGGATTTGGATTCGGCTGCAATTTCGAAGCGCTGAGAATTTCAATCGAACGACAATTGTTGCGGAATATCATTTTGAATAAGATTCAGTTTGATTCAATCATTTGGTCAGTTAACATTGCATCGAAATGAACCCAGTTTGCAAACATAAACACGATAAGTTTTGTTTTGTGTGTGGTAAATACATTGCATTCCACGGCCACTCAATCTTCGACAGCACCGAAATTCCGTGCAGATACATTTGTTTGTGCGTACGAAAAATGGAATGTTTTAACGGGCTGCTAGGCGCTGTAAGGTGAATTTTACCAAGGAATGCTTGATCGATATTTTCGAATTCGATGTAGGCCGCAACATGCTTCAATACGTATGGGCGTAAGTCATCAGCCGGCAACAAGCTGTTTCCTCGCGGGGCGTGAGCGGCGTTGGTTTTCTTTTGATCAATTTTCTTCCTATTGCCATGGTTCGTAAAACGTTCACCACAACTTCTCATATGTCCAGCCTTGCTGGCTTCCGTGACACAACGTACAAAACAATATGGGCATACCACATCCTCTTGGTCATGAACTTTCATGTGCCTCTTGAATTTCGATTGGAAAAGAAATTTTTTCGGGCAAGAAGGACAACCAAACAGACGACCGGGTGGGTTTTCGTAGACACCGTGTGTCACCATGTGTCGTCTCAAAAGTTTTTCCGTCCCGAACACTTTTTTGCAACGGCGCCATTCGTTTGGAACCACTTCACCGGCAATTGCGTTACGTTGCACTTTATCTTTCTTTGTTGGCGACAATCCACCTAACGCAAATTGAAAATTCAAATTTTAAGAATGGGACGAATGTTTTCGATTAATTTCTAATCAGAAATGAATAAAAAAAAAAACAATTCATTCATTTGTAATCATTACGAAAGCTATGCACTTACCGCTTGTTGAAGGTTGGGCAAAATCTTCTTCGGCTGAATCCGACCTTTCGCCAACCCCCCAACGAACTGAGCATATCATCGACAAAAATAATATTAAATATGCCCGCCTCGTTGATGAAGAAAGTATTCTACTTCCATCGTTGCATCTTACCCTGGGAATAGCTACGCAGTTTCTCAAAGCCGTTGCCAAAACGAATAAAACAGCCGATGATAAGCTTCATTCATTTTATTCAAAAATGACACCAGACAGATTTCTGGCCAAAACGTTCACTGGACCTCAGGTGAGGGATATTTTGAACAACCATGAATTCTACCGAGGTTTAACTAAAAAGGAACAAGACGCTTATGCTGCTTTCAAAAACGTTGTGTATGGATTTCTTGGAAACAACAAAGACCCCAATTACCGGCAACTCGTTGCAACAATGATAAGCTGCTTTGAAAAAATTGATGCATTAATGTCACATGTTTTCGGTCAAATTTTGGTATAATATATCTGCCCAAATCGGACATTTTGTCTGCTCATTTTAGAAATTCATCTGGCCAATTTAGACTTTGTCTGACCATATTAGATTTATCCGGAAAAAATGTTGATTTCGCTCAATCACTGAATGTAATTGACAACATTTCACTAAACAAAAACTAATAAAATGATTTGAATTACACGAATGCTTTAGACTTTAAATTCTCAACGTTTTGAAATTGCAGCCGAATCCAAATCCAAATCGTATTGGTGTGTTTACAAAAGAAACTGTGTGTTGATAAAACATTCCGAGAGCTGCGCCGCATTGTCGCCTCATTGTTTATGTGATCGTAAGTATACAAATCTTTCGGTGCATGGGATAGGTTTGTACATGAATTAAGCGCGTGATAAATTTCATATGCTATGATTTTGACTAACAAAGCATTCAAAATGTGAAAGAATCGTGACTAAGTTCTGTGTGATAGAAGTTGTCATTAAAAGACAGGTGAATTGTAGTCGATGGTTGATTAAAGACTGACGATTTTATTCATGCACTTAAAGAGTATATACAATAAATTGCTTAGCTGACTTATTTAAATTCTCCGAATTCTATTCAGGTTATTGTTGCACTTATAACTAAATAATAATTATTTCTTGCTTATGATTCATTATTTCGTGCGATTTCATTATTGTTCGATTCCAGTTAATTCAAAATTATGTCAATAGACATTCTCCGGGCCACCTTTAGCGTGACTGGCGGTGCTCTAAACGGCGAGTCAAATCTTCAGATAGATTTGGCATCGAAATTGCACGTGGTAATCTGATTCGTCTATTACCCCTGATGAAATTTACAACGTAGAATATCAAGCATACAACGATGAACAGAGTGAAATAGTTTACTGAATAGTTATGAATGTCATGAATGTCGATTTTTTCCTTTAATTTAGATTGATTTTCGATGAATTTTAAGTGATTTTGTAGTTTAGTCAAATTAGTTTTGGCAAATTCGATCAAATTCCATGTTCCGTTTGAAATGAATGGCTCGTACGAAGTGAGATTGAATTGGAAATTCGGAATAATGAAATCATGTGGCGCGCGCTCTAAACTCTTTTGGGGCATTAATTCAAAATTATCACCCCGAAGTACGCAATTGTCGTTCAATTTTAGGGTTCCAGAGCCAATAGCGCTGTGGTGATTTACACTATCGCCGCAAATAGATATGAACTTTTCCACATGCTTACAGAAAAATAACCAATTGTTCGGCTCTTCGAGTTCTAACCATTGGTAACGCAAATTTACCTTGGGTAACTCGCAATTCGAGTTGGCTTCATGATTAAAGAGAGACCACACACAAGATTTGAATTGGCTGGTTAGCCACTTGCGGGGCTCGAAGCAGATGACCATGTCATCTGACTGTTTTTTGCATTTCAGTTCATGCTTGTTTCTAATCAATTGATATTTTTGCCGATTTAATGACGCGATAATGACTTCGAATTTAGCATTTATTTTCAGAGTTTCGTCATTGTATACAAATGGCGTTTCATACATATGATACAATTGAAACCTTTCGTCGCTTATCAATGGAATGGCAATTCGAAAAAATAGTGTCTTATTTGTGACAAACGGAGTGATGGTTGCCAATTTGTAGAAATCGGTTCCATCCGGAGGTGCCTGTTGGTCTGATAAATATTCACTCATTATATTTAATTGACCCTTTACTTGAGCAGGAGTTATTAGATGATGATCGATATGATTTTTTCTAGCGCCAGTAAGTATGTCCAACATGCTATCTTGTTGATGCTCATAATCAGAGATCATTTGTAAAAGATACACAGACATAGTATGAAAATGCAAAACTGCTTGCTGGTCATTGGTTTGAACACGTACCAAACCTGCTAGATTTATTATGCTTTCTCTCTGATTTATGATTTCCCGCTCATCTTTTTTGATTATATTCATAGTGGAATTTAAAACAGAAGTGTGGTTTTTCAAAAGAGTGAGCAAATGTTCGTCATTTGATTCCAATCTTGACATATCGAGAACGTATTCTCGTCCGAATTGAGAGTCTAAAACTCCAAATAAATCGCCAGCAATGTTTCCAACAATGTCAAGTAACGCTCTTTCTGCTCGATGATGCTTAAACGATACTATTAACTCATTTCGTTCATTGATGTCGTTGATACGATTTTCAATTAGTTGACAAAGAGATTTGCATGAGCTTTGCCCCGCCAGTTTTTGATTGCATACGTTTTCTAAATCATGTAAACTTCTTTCCATCATCGATGCTTCGTTGAGAAATGATTTCATGTTTACATAAACAATCGAGTTCCAATTGGTGTAACTGAACTTTGCATGCGAAATTTGTTCGAAAAACAAACCCGGCGAGGTGTCAAATTTATTCAATTTGAACGGAACGATTTGATTTGGGTGAGCATTCACTTGAATCACAAAAGTTGCAAGCAATGCCGTTATTATCGGAATGACATTAAATGTTTGTTTTGCCGGTTTGGATTTTGTAACCCGTGCTTTACTCGCTGTTTCAGTTTTTGCAATGTGTGCTTTAATTGTTGCCCGGGTCTCCGCATCGTATTCAATCGGCAACGGAGCGATTTTGGTTATTGGTCGAGTGAAAGTGTTATTGCGCATTTTAAGTGTTACCACTCTCGTGAGTGCGTCATGACCCTTGTGCACGTCGATTACGCGCGCCATTGGCCAAGAGCATGGTGGTGAATTCTCATCTTTTACCAAAACTAATTCATTCAATTTTGGTTCTTCTTTTTTCGTAAACCATTTTGATTTGGTTTGCAATTCATTTAGATATTCCGTTTGAAATTTTTTCCAAATGTTTTGACTCATTTTTTGCACCAATTGCCAACGTGAAAGCCAGTTTACGTTCGTTTCGATGTAGCTTTCGTCGGGTGGTGCCAGTAACGGTGCCCCAATCAAGAAATGTCCAGGTGTTAGGCAATCGATGTCATCAGGGTCAGTAGATAGTGCACAAAGTGGTCTTGAATTTGCACATGCTTCCACCTGATACAATAATGTGGACAATTCTTCAAATGTTAGCGCAGTTTTTCCGATTGTTTTTATTAAATGAGTCTTTGCAACTTTCACACCAGCCTCGGCGAGGCCATTGAAATGAGGCGCACCAGCGGGTGAGAAATGCCAAGAAATGCCTTGCTTTGAAAGTTCATCGCAGATTGTTTTGAACTCTTCTTTTTCGATTTCAAATAAATCACTTAGATCTTTATTAGCTTTTACAAAGTTTGTGCCATTGTCACTGTTGAAGCTCTTGATCATTCCACGACGCGCTACCAATCTGCGAACGGCAGCTATGAACGCGTCGGCTGTTAAATCTGATACTAGTTCGATATGAAGTGCCTTTGTAGCCATACAGACAAATATTGAAATGTAAGCCTTAGAAATTTTACCAGCCCTACCTTTTGCCGTTTTGTATGGAATTGCACCGGTGTAGTCTACTGCTACGGTGGTGAATGGCTTTTCAACAATGTTTACGCGATTGGCCGGCAAATCTGCCATTAATTGTGACATGGTTTTTTGTCTTTGTTTGAAGCAAGGAATGCACACACACAAAAATAAGTGTATAGATAATTTACTTTACTATTTTTAT